GCTGTGGTTACAAATACACATCCTCAATTAGATTTTTATCTTTTGTTTGAATATTCATTTTTTTTTCTTTAATGCTAAGGACAAGGATATAACGTGAGAAGTCAAAGCGACTATTCTTTGTGGTGCTTCAAAAAAGAATTCAGACAAACTTGGATGTATATTTTCATTTGTTAGTTGTCTTTCTTACACTGGTGCCAGTAGCTGGACAGTGGTCATTAATTCCTCTAAATTTCTGCCCTAATATTTTGCTTTGGCAAAGCACATTCACCTGCTTGCAGAGTGAAAATGAGGGCTAAGCCAGTAATGACTTACTGAATGGCCTTTTAACCCTACCACCATTCCAGCAGCTGGTATTGGAGTGAAGAAAAGAAATTTTGGTCCTCTCTGGACCTTTCTGTGGCTGTAGTTTTATCAATTTGAAGTCAGCTTCTACCGCTAGAAATTACTAAGATTGAAATGAAGCCAAGCCCATGTTAGCACAGCAATAATTATACTGAATAATTGAGCCATGGAACAAAAACTCAGTGACGTTCAGGCAACAAATATTTATCAAATGCTCACTATGCACGAAGTGCTATGTTTAGCACTGTGGACATAAATAGAAAATCTAATTCTCACTCTTAAGAAACTCATACTTTCATGTCATCCTTTATTCCCTACTCTTATTCGTTCCACAATTCAATCATTTGCCAAGTACTATCGTTTCTACCTTTACATCATCTTTTGTATATGTCCCCTTTTCTCTTCCCACACAACTATGCTAAATTCAGATCTGAATCACCTCTTACTTGGACTATTGCCATGGCCTTCAAGCCTCTTCTCACTCTGGGCCATTCTCTACCCAATGGCCAAGTTTATTTGTTCTATAGGGTAGGTCTGATCACATTATAGCAAGTTGGCCTCTTTGGAAATAATGTAGGGCATGAGAGTGGAGGCAATGTGCAATCATATTCAGATAAGCTGGAGGCAGAGTGAAAAGAGGCTTAAAATGCCAAAGAAGGTTAGAATTAATTGTAGAGGGTGTAAAGACGAACTGCATATTCTTGTGTAGGACAACGACAAAACCAAATTTCTCATTTATGGAACTGAAGTAGCGCAGATGTGGAAATAGGATCACTACTCGAGTCCAATTCTGATGACTCATTGTGTTAACATGATGAAGGCTGCTGTCTAATGTCCAGCCCAGCTAAAATCAGGGAAGGTCATCATCAGGTTGAATACTGCATTTTTTTTTCTTTTTGAATTTACTTAATATTTTATCTTTCCTCAATTACATGTAAAAACAATTTTTAACTTTCATTTCTAAAATGAATTTTAAATTCTCTCCCTCCCTCTTTCTTCTCCTCCCTCATTGAGAAGGGCAAGCACTTTAATATAACTTATACATGTGCAGTCATGAAAAACATATTTCTATATTAGTCATGTAGTAAAAGAAAACACAGGCCCCCCTCCAAAAAAAAAAAGAAAACCAAAGATTCTTTAAATATGCTTCAATCTGTATTCAGACTTCATCATTTTTTTTTGCTGGAAATGAATGGCGTTTTTCATCATAAGTACTACAGAATCGTCTTGGACCACTGTATCACTAAGAATACCTAAGTCATTCACCATTGATCATTATACAATATTGTTGTGTGCATCATTTCTTCTACTACCACAATTATCTCTTAGTGTAACACTTTGCATCAGTTCATGTAAGTCTTTCTAGGTTTTTCTGAGAGCATCCTGTTCATGATTTCTTATAGCATGATAATAAACAACAACGTACAGTAAGTTTTTCCAGTATTTTCTGAAAGAATCCTGGTCATCATTTCTTATATCACAGTATTCCGTCATAGTCATATACCATATCCTGTTCAACCATTCCCCAATTAATAAGCATCCCCTCAGTTTCCAATTATTTGGCACCACTAAAAGAGCTGCTTTAAATATTTGTGTAAATCTAGGCTCTTTTCCTTTTTTTTTTATCTTTTAGCAATATAGACCTCCTAGTGATATTCCTGGTTCAAAGGGTATGCATGGTTTTATATCCCCTTGCACACAGCTCCAATCAGATTAAAACTCCACCAACAACTCATAAGTATTTTGATTTTCCCACAGTCCCTACAAATTTGTCATTTGCTTTTCTGCCATATTATCTAATCTTATAGGTGTGGGGTGGTAGCTCAGAGTTGTTTGAATTTGCATTTCAGTAGTGATTTAGAGGAATTTTTCATATGACTATAGATAGCTTTGATTACTTTATCTGAAAACTGCCTGTTCATGTCCTTTGATCACTTATCAATTTTGGAATGGATGTTATTTTTATAAATTTGGCTCATTTCTCTACAAAATTGAGAACTGAGGCTTTTATCTGAGAAACTTGATATATTTTTCCCCACACTTATAATTACTGTGCATTTACCTCCATCTCATCCCTGTCCCATTTATCCTACTCTCTCTCCATTTATCTTGTCCATCCCAAGTATTTAACTTCTTACTACCACCTCCCCAAACTGCTCCCTTCTATTAGCCCCCCACCTTCTTTTATGCCCTTCCTCTCATACTTTCCTCTGGGGTAATATAGATTTCTATATCCAACTTAGTATGTATGTTATTCCTTCTCTGAGTCAATTCCAACAACAGTGAATTTCATTCCTCTCTCCCTCACCTTCCCTTCCACTGAGGGGGAAAAAAAAAACAAGAAAAAAATCTTTCATGTCTCTTTTATGAGATAATTTACCTCTCCCTTTCCTCTTCTCTCACTGCATTACTCTTTCTCAAACCTTGGTCTTATTGTTTCAGATTTCATTTTATCATATTGGATACATACCTGTGTCCTCTGTCTATTTATGCTCCTTCTAATTGTCTTAATAATAAGAAAGTTCTTAGAAATTACAAGTATCATCTTTCCGTGTAGGAATGCAAATAGTTTAACTTGAATCTTTTATTATTTCTCTTCCCTGTTCACCTTTTTATGCTTCTTTTGATTGTATTTGAAAGTCAAATTTTCTATTCAGTTCTGGTCTTTTCATCAGGAATGCTTTAAAGTCCTCCATTTCATTGAATATCCATTTTTTTTTTCTTGAAGGAGTATAGTCAATTTTTCTGGATATGTGATTCTTGGTTTTAATTCTACCTCCTTTGTCTGATGGAATATTGTACTGCAAGCTCAGTGATACTTTAAGGTAGAACTCCTTAATCTTGTGTTATCTAGAGCAATTGTATCCACAAGGGAGCAGATCCCTGGCCTGGTAAATAATAGAGCAGAGATAGGAGGGCAGTGGCAGGAACTCTCCCAGCAACATACCAACCTCGGAATCAGTGAAAACTTACAGGCCCCCAGAACTAGCTGTGAAAGCAGCAGGACATAAAAATCAGAAGATTAGGCAAGACATCCCCACCATCTCTGGAGGTGAGTGAGCTCCAAGTAAACATAAAGTCCAAAGTCCAAAAATAGGCTAGAAAAAATTAGCAAATGACAACAATAAAAGAACCTGACCACGAAAAGCTCCCTCCTGAAGGAAAGATTTCAAACTTTTATGCTGGCATTAGAATAAAATTCGAGAGCTCCAAGGTCAAGGGGAAAACACTGCAAGAATGGAATAATCCTTGCCCTCAAGGAGTTTAATATCTACTGGAAGAGTCACATCAACTACATGGAATATCTTGCATGCTGCAAAGTACAGTAGGGCACAAAGAGAGCACCTGTATAAGCTTCCTTAGAACATATAAGGAGAGAGAGAGAGCACTAACACCTAGGGTTGGGGATTGACAAAGGGGATCACATTAGAGAAGAGAGCTCAACACTGATCCTGCATAATGAAAGGTAAAAATGCTTCTTAGAAGGGGCGTGGTCAAATGCATAGAGAGCTATCCTTGGAGATAAGAAGAACCTGCCTTTGACAGAAACTGGCTGTGTGGCCTTTTCCTAATTCATTAGCCTGATCACCTCCAGGCAACTTGCTAAGACTAAATGACAGAAAAGTGGCCAATCGATGTCAGGAAAGGGAGTTTCCACACTGAGAATCCCTAACACTGATACTGTTGGGCACGTGAAGTGGGAGGTGGGGTGGTAAGGGGAAGTATACTGGAAGGCTCAGCTAGGAAGCATTGGGTTATCCTGAATGGACTGACTCAGGAGAAAAGAGATGGCATAGAGGCCAGTTTGGAGTGCTTGGAGGGGGATCATCTGAAATTGGTCTCAAAAAATGGCCTGGTGAGAAATTGTTGTGGGCCTGAAATGCCAGACAAAGGATCTGTATTTCCTTCAACAGGAAACACATATCCATGTGCCAGGATGTACACAAGGGAGCATTTCTTTGTAAAAGGCACTGTGTTATGATTTCAAAGGGACATGGAAAGACTTGTACAGAGGGGGAAGTGAGAAGGACCATAATGATAATCTATACTAGAACACCAATACTGGGAAAAAACAAACAAAGAAACAAAAAACAGTTCTGATGATTTGTCTGAACAGACAATACATGAAATGAGCAAAACCAGGAGAACAAGTTATAAAACAGTAATTTCTGAGGGTTTTTTTAAAAGACCCACAACAAAGCTGGAAGGCCTCTGATCAATGCTACCACTAGTCCTGATTCTAGATGATCAATGATGAAACGTGCCATTCACCTTCTCACAGAGGAGATGTACTTGTCTAGTGGAATGGGCCACCTATTCTTCTGTCTACAGTCACTTAGGGAACTTATTTTGCATGACTCAGCATATTTGCTATAAGGAATTATCAGTGGGAGGGAAATAAAATTGATTTTTCTTTTCTACCAAAATAGAAGGGGATGCTACAGATATGGAATATTGAATCCTTTTTTAAATTAAGTATTATTTGTTTTACTTGATTGTTTCACTGTTTTACAAGAGACCTCTCACAGACTAGAGTAACCTGGAAATGATTGTAATGTAAAGGAAATCAATATAACTTGCTTTTAACAAATGGTCTCATATCAGTTTGGGTTATTTCTGTTTTTATTACCCATAACATTTTACACATATGACTCACATATAGAGATTTTTAATATCACACACAAATCAAAACCATACAAAAGAATGTTAAATTAAGCTTGTATTTCACATTTTTAGAACACCAAATATAAGAACTTATATTTGCATGTCTGTGGCCACAAAATGAGAAACAAAGTTCCATAGGTCTCAAAATGAATCAAATATGTTAAAATGGATATTTACACAATTTATAGCAGCTGTTATTATAGGATCAGTTACCTTTGATTAGAATTAGGCATGAAAAAATTGACTCATCATCTCTGATTCTCTTGTTAGAGAGGAGCAAATGTAGACTTGTCTCAAAATTACATGAAAATGATCATTAAACATCAGAGCTATGAAGGTCCTGCTCAGAACCCTGGTTCATGGAAAGAGTAATGGATTTTGAAGTATGAAGGCCTGAGTTTGACTCTCAGCCTTATCACTTATTATCTGGGTGACTTGGAGCAATGCACTTCTCTTCTCTGAATCAGTTTCCTTCAGAGGTACAATAAGGGGATTGGAGACCATGATGCCTAAAGTCCTTTCAGATGTAAATCCTAAGAAAGCTAAGCATTTGACTTAAAACCATATTTGTCTCTAAGATATGTCAATTATCTTCCTCCTTTCATAATTTGGTTGATTGAAACCTTTTCTTTTAACTTCTTTAAATTCAAAAATCCTCAGCATTGGGTTAAGTACAGGAGATTTCTTGTCATATTTAAAAGTATTCATCCCACTAGCCTTAGTCTCAGGACTAATTCTAAACTGTTGAAGTTTACCATCATTCTCATAGGCGTTTGACCAGACCAGATGTTTCAGAATCTAGTATATTCCCCTCACCCTCATTTTAGAGAGAAACAAAGGGCAAGAGAGATGGTGGGATTTAGTGAAGGCTATTTGAATGATTTGGTTTTCCCTCCAACTGACTGCTAACATAGGAAATAATGGGGAGGGAGGATACAATTCATGTTTCAACCAGGACAGAGGGCAAGGAAATGAGTTCATAATTAAGAGATTAGGTTAGACCTTTCATTATGGAAATTACAGAACATAGCCTTCCACCCAAATGGTACTCTCAAGGTTTTAGCGAATTTATCATTTGGAATCTATATAAATTAATAATGCATGATAAAGTGAAAGATAGATGTATACATTAATGTGTGTATCTATTTGTGTATATATATATATATATGTATATATACACATATTTTTATATTCAACATGCTTAAAATAATAATCTAGAAAAGTAAGTGCCCATACATCACAGCAGAAAATATATAAATGAATTTATTTGATATTCAAATTAAATGGAAGAAAATCTGTGCTTAGAAAATGTAACAAACCATATAAAATAGCCATCATAGACCATCTAAAATAACCATTTTACTTTTGTAGTAAAACATGACTAGACATAAACGTCACAAAGTTGATGTGGCTCTACAGAGCAGTGACAAGCATGAGAACAATTAATGGACAGTCTTTTCACTTCCTTAATATACAGGCAATCCTTAATGGACCTGGAAAAAGGTCCACCTGCCCCTTTTAGTGGCTCCCTTGTGGAGAATATAGCTAGGAGCCACGCAAGGGAGTAATGGGCTCACAAGCTACACCTTTAAAGCGGCATCCACTTGATTGCTGCCTCAGGTAAAGTTGTTAGGGTTCAAATGTCTTGTCATTTAGCAATTTTTTTAAGGTTTACAGTAAAAGAAATGGAATTCATCAATCCCTTTTCTACACACAATTAGAGTATATTGTCCCTACTAATTGACCCTTGAAAACAAAAGAGAGACACTGCTTCACTCAGCTGCCACCCTATAGGTATCAGCTTAGAACTCTCTACTATGATCTGCTTTTCTGGAAAAAGTGACAATAGCTCCTTTTGTCAGAAGAAAAACTAACTTTCTGATTTCATTTTAAATCACTTCAAAAGTTATAAATCATGTTTCATAATATATTCATTGCGTGAAATGTAACTCAGTTTTTCTGTTTCAACATCAATGCACTGGACACATATCAAATACTCATTTATCACTATGCATTTGATATTTGACTTATTTTTAAGATTTTAGAATTTCCATCTCTTTTGTCCCTGTTTCAGCCTTGTTTCCTCCCTTTCTCCCCAGAAATTTGTTTGTAGTCATCTGCTAAGGAGATATCTCTCCTTTTTTCTTATAAAAGAAATTATATATAAAAATGCAAGGATGCTAGGGATTTCCTTGGGTTGACACAAAGACTGATGTGGATCATCATAACGTGAACTTTCTAAGAACTCTCAGTCTGACAGAAGTAGAGTTTGAAAAGTGAATGAAATTTACTCTTGGCATATTAAGCTTGTAAAAGCTCAGGGGCTCTGCTCACATCTTTTCTGTGGAGTCATTTATTGCCTTAAATATTTCTCAGGTGAGAAAGATCACTCATCACCAGAAAGCTAAATGATTAAATGAATGTTACAGATCTAGGCTCCACACTTTAGATACCTTGTCTTCTACAAGTTTGGTCTTTTCTAGAAAGTACATTTAAGAGGAGGAGAGAAAGCTGGAAGTTATTGAAAATGAACGATATTTTTGTTTGAATAAAGGGGGGAAAGCATCAGGCTCACAGATTTTTAATGTAAAGCCTATCTATGCATAACTCTTAGTACAGTCCTAACGGACTATATTTTGGGATGTTAAATCATTCAGCCTCCAGCCCAGAGGAAAATGATGAGCTTGACTAGCTTGGAAAGTGGGCCGCTGTCAGAATGAAGAGACTCAGCATTATTGTTCAGATTATTTCACAAGACAAATTTCTACCATCAGATTAAAAGGCATCAGAAGTCTGGGTTTCACTGCACCCAAAGACTTTCCATTAATTCAGTGCAGCATCTCTGAAACTAAGTTACACCAAAAGACCAGAGCTGCTCAGAGGGTGTCAGTTTCATGCTTTCCTTGTGAGTGTAGCAGGAGAGTTCATCTTTATATTGTACTGGGCAGTGCAGGAAAAGGGATGCTCAGTGACCCATGCAAACCCTCCCCTTTGCTGTTGAGAGGCAAAATGTTGGGGTCCTCTAAGCAGCTGACAAACGGAAGCTTGCAAATCAAATCACCTTTCCTGTCAGGTGGTCAGGCGGCTGCTGTCCATGGTGTGTCCGCTGGAAAAGAAACTGGCCTAGGTTGCTCCAACAAAGAGGCCTCTCCCACTGCCAGCAGTAACCCTGAGCACATCCTCTGTGCACACTGCCTGTCCATAGTCGGGGCTCTTTACTAGCAGTGTTGTGCCTAGGCCGAGGGTGATGGTAGACAAATGACCTTGAAATACATTCCACATATTTGAACACCTTCTGACAGCCAGGTTAGGGAGAAAACAAGGCTGAGAACAAAAGTCAAAACCACAAATGTGCAAACTGCTTAACTAAAGGAGAGAAGTAGTCAGACTGGTTATGATGGGAGCAGTGTATTTATGTTTTCAACCTATAGAAAACTAGAATGAAAATACCTTTTCAAGTCCAAGGTCTAAGGGAGGAAGTAGACCATAAGAGTCTGTGTAAACAAAGCAAAGACCACTGGAAGAGTAACAGATCTGTTTCAGTGTGGGTTATAAAGAGCAACAGGTTAAAGACTGTCAGGGAGCAGGAACAAAGTAGAAAAGTTGGAGGGGAGGAGGGAAAACTTCAGATATTACTTCCAGTTCCAAAAGGTGAGGTTCCAGTGTGAGAAGGCTCTTTGTAAACACACAGCAGGTTCATGGCAGTGTTCACTAGTTGAGATGGGGGTATGGGTTTCCTAAGACTGTTTAGGAACCCAGGTAAACTTCCAGCCTCCTTCATCTCGACGTACAAAGGCTTGTCCCTGCTGGAAGGAATGGGTTTTCACATGGCAGTGAGGTGTCAGGGACGTGGAAAAGGCCACATCTGTTTTGTTGGGTGATACATCAGGGGTATAGCCAGGTGAAGCGTAAGGGGGAAAAGGATTGGGGGAAAGGTTAGACAGGCTTGGTAAAGCGCCTGGTTGGTCGGACACTCCGGAGAAAAAGAGCAAGTCCTCCTGCTGCTGGCTGCCTGTGTTGTGCAAGGGTGCCACCTGCGCACTCTCATCAGAAATGGGCAGCCCCACAATGGCCTCTTCACCAGGAAGCTGTTGGAACGTGCTCCCTTCAGGCTGAGAGAGCACGGCACTGTAGTTAGCTGGCACACTGTCATCAATGGTGTCAAGGTCTTTTAACCCGAGGGTCTTCAGGACCCAGGGGTCCACAGGGGGACTTGGTCGCCCCTCACAGGCAGCAAACTCACTAAAGAGACTTCTCTTGGCATTCTTGGGATGGGGGGTATCCACGGCAGGGTACCTCCCCTCCTTCGGTTTCCTCTTCCCATTTTCTGTACAACCATAGATTTGGGTGGGTCCATTTTGCATCAGCAATTTCTAGAAGAGACAAAATTTACACACTAGTGAAGAGATAAGAAAATGAGGAGCCCTCAAAACAGTAAGTTACAGCACACACTCATTGGTCATCTTCAATCAATGAAGAGGTTCTAAACATTGGAGGTGACTGATGTTCCCAAGTACCTACTTACACACACAAAACGGACGCTCAATACCATTGACTTATTTTGAAAATCACTACTGATAGCCTGTCAACCATTCATTATTTTTAAATATTTGTTTCTTTTTAGTTTTCAACATTCACCTCCATAAGATTTTGAGTTTTACATTTTCTTTCCTTCCCTCTCCTCCCCCCTCCTCAAGACAGTGTGCAATAAGATAGAGGCTCTATTTGTATATTTATGTTAAGCATATTTTACCATTGGCCATGACGTAAAGAAGAATTAGAAATGATGGGAGGAACCATGAGAAGGAAGCAATGAAACAAAACAATAAAAGAAAAGAAGAGCAAATAGTATGCTTCCAACTGCATTCAGAGTCCATGGTTCTTTTCTGTGGATGTGGATAATATTTTCCATCATGAGTCTTTTAGAATTGTCTTCGATCCTTTCCTTGCTGTGAAGAGCTAAGTCTATCAAAGTCAGTCTTCATACAGTGTGGTTGTTACTGTATCTCATGTTCTCCTGGTTCTGCTCACTTTGTTCAGCATTAGTTCATATACGGCTTTCCAGGTTTTTCTAAAGTCCATTTGTTCATCATTTCTCGTAGCACAATAGTATGCCATTACATATGTATATATATATATATATATATATATATATATATATATATATATATACACACACATACACACACACATATATACACATACACACACACATATATACACATACACACACACACATATATACACATACACACACACATATATATACACATATACACATACACACACATATATATACACATACACACACACATACACATATATATATATATACACACACACACACACACACACACATTGGAGCATTTTTAGAGTTAGAGCATTTTTCATAAGATTATAGATAGCTTTAACTTTTTCTTCTGAAAACTGTCTGTTCATATCACTTGACCATTTACCAATTGGGGGATTCACCCATTCATTATTACAGCTCCTGGCAAAGGCTCTGCCTAGCTGCCTTCTGGATGGCTCTCCTCAGGGAAGTTGGAGCAGCAGAAAGATTGGAAAGTTCCATGGATTTGGAGCCAGCAAACCTGGGTTCAAACCCCAGCCTTGTCTTGTGGTGCCAGTGTGACTAGGCATCTCTCTGGGTCTCAGTTTCCTCACCTGGTTTGAAACAGACAACTACAAAATTCTTTCCAGCATGAAATCTATTTTCCTATGACGTGTAATAATCACTCGGGGAGCTATGCAACCATAGAAGACAGCACAGGTTTCAGCTACTGAATGGTTTGAACTGCATTGTTTGACACAAATTTCTATTCAGTGGATCTCATTAAAGCAAGTAAAATAACAAAGAAAGGAAAACAACTCACTAGGGCTGTTTAAAAAAAAGACAAGGCAAAGGGAGGGGGCAAGTAATAATTTCTAAAGTATATTTTGGAATTTCCTTCACAATGCTCAGAAATGATATTTGTTTTATACTTAGGGGAAAAAAAAAAACCTTAAGCCCAGAGGGATGACACACCCTATTTAACATCACTCATTGAATCTCAGCTAAATCTGAACTTTGGCAAGAAGCCAGGACTGAAAACTGAGAATGAAAGTGGCTACATTCACTGGATGAGCAGCTGAGAATCATGTTATCTGACCAGTCTCTGTCCCTTTACACTTCTGAAGCCCAGGAAAATAAGCATGATGAAAGGAGGGGACCAAATGGGAGGCTTTCCTGCATGTGGTTCATGTCTATTAGGCCCTTGAAATCTAATGCAAAATATGTAGCCCTGATAGCTGTTCCCTTTTGCCCAACCACCTTCTGGTCAGCATAGAATGGGGATTCTTAATCTGATGCCAGTGAATTTAAAAAAAAAACAACATTTTTTTTTATAATTTTATTACAGTATAATCAGTTTCCTTTATAATTTTATATATTTTATTTTATGTATTTAAAAACATGATTCTGAGAAAGGGTGGACAGGTTTCATAAGACTGCCAAAGAAGCTGACGACCTAAGGCAAATTTAAGAATTCTTGCCATAGAATTTCATTCCATTGTTGTTCACTTCTCTTCCTACTTTTCTTCCTTTATTTGCCATTAGCCTCTTTCTTTGATCTTGCCCTTTCTTGTCCTGAAGCTGCCTTTTGAACTCTACCTAGGATGTTTATTCAAACTAAGATGTCACCTGACAGAGCAGCACAGATCCACACGGATGATCTGTGTAGATTGCCCCAGTGTTCTCTTCCAGCATTACAACCACAATCTTTTTGGCTTAAAACCAAAATAAGGAAAAAAAAAAAAGAAAAACAAACAAACAAACCTTGAGCAAACCTTATCAAAACTTATCATTTACCCTTGGAAAAGAGCAGTCGACATTTTATGAGATATGGCCAAGGTTGGGACTCTAGCTCTACCCATGAAAAGGGCATTCCTCTGTGCAAGGCTCAATGGTGTGTAGAAGAACAAACTTTGTAACCTATTCTGTGTATAAGTTGTTTTAAATGAAGCCCCAATTTAACAGCATTTTAGGAGAAGAAGGAAAAAGCAAAGGAGAAAGAATGATAATCAATGAGCTATTCATTTGGGTGATATCCAGTCAGTGTCATGACATCTAGAAGGGGAAACATCCCAGGAGGTTTGGAAGAGCTCCTTTGGGATGTTTGTAAGGTGGGGTGGGTGGGTGGAGGGATGTAGATGAAAGGAGTCTCTCTCTGCTGTGACAGTGATATTCCCCTTTAGGGAAGGTCATTGAGGCACCAGAGAATTACTTTGCATCTTCTTTGACGTGTGAATTTGGGCATAAGAGACGTGGTCACTTCTGATTAACCTCATGTGAGAGCAACTCCCTTTCCTCCCGATATACGAACACTAGGGAACCAGCTTAGGTTAATTAATGATGAGAGTGTTGACAATCATGAGAGAACATAAATAAAACCAGAGCCAAAGAATAGTCTCAAATACTGAATTTACATATAAAGTTGAACCAGAATGGAGAGAGCCAGCCTTTGCCCCAAGATGCTAATAATATCCAGGAGTAAAGGTGATACTTCCTCCCCATATAACCCTCTGCATCTGAATGTTCCCATTTAATCATTGGCCTCTTTCCCTTGGATCGCTTTTGGAGGCCTGTCCATGTAGCAGCTCCATAATTGATGATTTGAGCCCTGTAAGATACCCAAGATCAATAGCACTCATGGTGGCCACTTTACTAGCCTCCTCATAAGTAGCTTCAGACCTTTTTTTTTCTCCCCAACCCCCTAAACACAACTACATGTGTCCCAATGCCAGAATCACATTTATGGCTCTGCTCACCTTTCAGCTGGCTAACCTTTATGACCCTGGGTAAGTCACCAGCCCTTAGACTTTCAACTTCCACATTTGTAAAACAGGGATAAAAATCTAGCTCTTAATGAATTCTCAGAAATAGAAGATACCATGGGAACATCTATGAAAGCACTCTCCTGGCTGGAATGTCTCATGTCATAATGGTGCCTCTCTAATCCCCAATTTCCTTCCAAACTCCACTTAATTGCTGCCTTCCCCAATATTAGTGCTCTCCTGCCTCAAATTACATTGTATGCAGCTTGTGTGTGTGTGTGTGTGTGTGTGTGTGTGTGTGTGTGTAGCTTGTCTCTTCAATTAGAAAGTAAGCTCTCTGAGGGCAATAATCAGTTCACTTTTGTCTTCAAATCTCCAGCCCCAGGCACAGTGCCAGACATACTTAATACCTGCTGACTGCCTCATGAAGCTAGGCTATGCTATAAGGTGATGGAATTCAAAGGGTCTTTCCAAAGTACCTGTTCAGTGTCTTGCATGTCCTCCAGGACCTCAGAAATCTCTCCAGCCCTTCCCTACCCCCGAACTCCTTCCTGGCTTCATACCTTGGCTCTCTGCTCAAGACATTTCACCAAGGCCGAGTTCAGGTATTGTCTGAGGTTGTTGTTTTCTTCATGTAGCCTAGCAAGTTCTTCCTCCTTCTGCAGCAGGGTGTCCTGGAGCTGGGGAGGAGATGCCCACAATGGTGAAAGCTGCTCTCCAATATTGACTCTGTAACTTTATCAATTGCTTACACTCCATTATGCCTTTGTTTGCTTTATGAAGACAATCTTGGGCAAACTCTAGTCCTACATTCAGTGTGTCCTTTCCATTCCCCACCTGACTCATTTTCAGCTTTCAACTTTGCCTGTTCTTTGCAAACTATTTGACAAGATTGTGACATTCTTCAAATGACCACTCTGGGTGAATAACTCCTACTTGCATGCATGCAGGAAAGCTGGGACCACCCCCAGCTGCTCCACCAGAGAGAAGGATGCTTAGAAAAAAATGTTTTCCACCTGGAACCTGGCTCTCTGTAGCTCACAAAGGAGCTGGGTTCAGTCTGATCTGACTTATGGTACTTGGGGTTAAATTCCTTTGCAAACAAGAAAACTTCAAAGATAAGAAGGCTGTCCTGACAAGATTGCCTCAACTTCTCTCACTCAATGGCCTTTTTTGGGCTTTTGCTGATTGTTGGAATCCCATCTCTTGAATGAGAAGAGGGAGAGAAGTAGGGGTAGTTATGTGAAGTTGTCACCCTCTGTAAGAACTCAGGTGGCTACATTATCCCAGTCATCAGTGGTTACCTGCTTGTTTCTGTAGAGTTGTGAAGATAGTTGATTCCCTGCCCCAGCATAATCCTCATGGACAAAGAAATCAAAATCATTGCATTGTTCTGGGGAAAGACATAAAGACACATTTTGTTGGCCCTATTCACATGGGAGAATCAATCTGAGGGCCTTGGAAATATAGCAGGGAATGTCAGCATCTTAATTACTCCAGATGAGGAGATTGTAGAGAAAAATTCCTAAATCACCATTTACCATTTTCAGATTCATGAATCCATGAGGAAAAAAAATATCCATAGAATTTGGTTTCTGGTGGCCATAAAGGTGACTTGGTCATTGTGCACATGTTGATTTTAAAATATTATCAACAATAGTTATGCAAGTGCACACACACATATGTGTTCTCAAAAGAATTAATGCAGTAAGCTTTTATGGTTTTTATTAGCATTTGTATTAGCATGATTGTCTTATACTATAAACATATGTGTAGATATCATATGTAATACAATATGCACACACACCATACATGAATATGAACATATATGTATATATGCATACGTATCGGTTTGTATTTGTAATTTCCCATTGAGAACATTGTTCAATCCTATCCTTTTTTTGCCACCTTTGGACCACAAACCAAACAAAGAGATTTTGTGTCAATGGCTCTGGAGTCAATCTCTGTTGGTAATGGAATTGTGTCCTCAAGGAAAACTCATCTATTGCCTGAGCAGATGTTTCTTGGACAGCTAGCTGTGTGGTGGTAGATGCATTGTAAAGAGTTTAGACAATCCTTATCTAAGCATCTTTCTTGGGGTATTGCATTCTACCATCAGTGTCATTTGGTTGGACTTGCATCATCTCCAGTCCCTTTGTCTTGTCCCCTAAAGAAGTGCTAATTACATTACCAGCAGCAGAGGAAACTTCCACATGAGATTTAAAAAATATAATGCCTATAGCATGACTACATGGGTCATATATGCATACAATGTCCCTCTTTAGCCTGCCTTCCAAATAGATTTCAAAAGTAATCATTGTATTAAAGTGTGGTCATTTTAAGGAGTGGGAGAGGGGAGATAAGGAGTTGAGGATTTTGGCCTCAATTTCCTGGTTTAATCTTACTTCAAAGTATGTGGTGATAAAGGACTGAAACTGAGTTGCCTTTCTCTCATGCCCCCTAAAATTTCAGTATCTTTTCACTGCTATATACCACCTATGAGAAATTACTGTGGTAAAACTAATAGCCTCCATTCTTAGAAACTGAACTATCTCTGTAGTAAACATCATTAGTGAAGGCCATTTAATGCAGAGTCAATATTGATCACAGTTAGGTATTAGGGGGTCACGGTGTGAGAATTCAAATTCATACCCTGGCCTTGCAGGAAGGTGCTTTCATTCCCTACATGCCCACTCACCAAAGACACAAGTGTTCTCTTAGCCATATAGAATGACCACTTACCACTTACAAGTCTCTGGAGATAACATCTCCAAGGGCATCCTTGCCTTCTCTTAAACAAGCCAGACAGGACTCCCCTAATAGGAAAGGCTGAACTTCAATGAGCATCTCGCTTCCAAAAGCGCTCAATGAAATTGGACAGCGCATAATGCACGGCTAGCCAAAGATCACCCAATGAGTACAGTGGCTCTTTTCCCTCCCCCTGAACCATACAGGATGGCCCAAAAACCAGATAAATGTTGTTGCGCAAGAAGGTGACCTCCCTAGGTTCCCTCTTTGCGAAAGAAAAACCAGCAGGTCCCTTTATTCTTGGATACATGATGATTTGGGCTGCTTTGACAATGAGCTAGCCGTCCCCTCTCCTGTCCAGCCAGAACTCCCTCCCTGTGCTTTCCGAGTTGGGTGTAACTGGGGTGGCTGGGTGCCGGAAAGCTCCCGGAGCAGTGCTGGGGAAAGCAGAGGAGCAAGACTTACCCTGTGGCCCGGGTTCTTGTTGCTGCTCTCTGTTGTCCAGGAGACCAGCAGCCCAAAAGGAGACCCAAGTTTCCCTGGAAACGTCAACACTGGATGCTGACGTTGAGGTGGAATGGGGGCAATTATAGTCCTGGCCCCCTGCAAAGTGCTGATCTTGGCATGGGAGACTGGTGCTCTGTAAAACACAACACAAGGGGTGGGGTTCAGGGATGTGGGATGAGGCCAAGGAGAACAGAAAAGGTGGGAGGAGGAAAGAGACATTAGATACACTTAAAAGGCACAGTGAAGGTACGAGACGTTGGCCTGGGCTTCATTTGTGAGTGGTCAAAGTACACTTAATATAATTTTTTTACTTCTTGCTTTGACCAGGAAGCAAAACCAAACACCCAATCCTTTTGGACCACTAGAGCACCCCAGTCAGTCCCTATTCCTCCTTTCTAGTCTATTTCTTTTTCTTTAATGGCCAGATAAGAAAGTAACATAAGGCAGAAGCTCTACGTAGTATTCCAAACTTTTGGTGTTCCTAAAATGTTCACTGAATGCTGATCAAAAAAACAAAGGAAAACAACAGAGAACCTGACCTGTACCTGCTGAAGCTGTTCTATGACACCACTCCAAACCAAACAAAAAAAAAAGGAAAAAAAAGAAATATATAGTTTTGCTTCTCTAAGCAGACACAAAGTCTGAGATCTATTTCTCCCCATTGCTCAGACATCACTCTATGTGATTAAGGACAAAGTGGGGCAAGGGCCAAACTAGTAAGACAGCAGTCTTGTCTTCCTTGTTGATTTGGTCGGAGGATCCCACAATAGGATGAGTGACCCCAAGAAATTAAACCTGTCTTGACTAACCTGAGATAGAAGCTCCTCCCCACCAAAAAAAAAAACCCTAAGGATATTAAAAAAAAAAAAGATATTTTCTTCTTGTTTTCCTGCAAACCGCTCATGTCCAACTTGTCCAATCCAGGAATACTGTAACATACTCAAGGACTAGTTGGCTTCCGCTGGAAGTTGCTGACTTTGCACCTTTCAGTCGATGCAAGCATTCATGCATACATGTTGTAGGTAAAACAATGAAGTAATTGAAGTGTTTCAGCTTGTGTAGTGAGTTCCCTCAGCTGCATATGAATGATTACTCCTAAATCCCAGTCTTGACTCTATCGCAAATCCGCAATTCAATTTGGATGTAAAAGAGAAACAGATAAGGTCCTAATCCCTCTCATTCCCGTGTCTCAGTTCTCCAGCATAGCCATCACGCAATGCTTCGAGCAGCTAATCTAAGGAATCTCTCTTCCCCATCCCGCCCCACTCCAGCAGGTAGAGTCATTCACAGCAAGGAAAAACAAGGCTACCAGGCACACAGCCTGTCTGGATTAAGGGGTCAGTAACTCATTTTCTTTGTATTGGTAAATGTTTAATCTTCCAGAAGTCCCCTTTTTCAGTAGCGTTAGGAATAGGAAAGATGTTCCAGTCGTTACTACATTAGAATTTTCTTAGGCAAAATACAACCAAAGGGGTAAAGCGGGGAGGGAGAGGCAGGGAGTTAAGAAAAGTCATGCCTTGTTCATTTTCTCTGTAACTAGTTGAAAAAGGTCCCGTTTTGAAGCCAACCCAGCTCGGATGCCACAGACCCAAAAATTTGAGCCAAATTTATCAAGTACTTTTTTTTTCTGCAAAAAGCCCACTCCCTGGGCTCAGTAAGGGCTTCTCCGTTATACAACCAATACCTAGAAGCAACAAGAAAAGCTCCAAATAGCTGCAAATCAAAGCAGAGTAAAGGTGGGGAGGTGAGAGAAGTGAGGAGAGACTGTAAGTCTGCAAAGAAATCCTGGGACCGGGAATGAAGCCCTGGGTCCGAGCGCGGGAGGGCCGGGCAAGCCTCAGAGAAAGGTTGGGAAAGCCAGATAGATCCAGGTGGGGAAATGAGGAAGGGGAGCGAGTAACCTGTTTGGAGTCGCAGGTGCCTGAGAGAGCTGGCTTCCCCGCTGGAACCAGCCTTAAATCTCCAGCTCCAGTTTCTTGCCCAGCCCCAAGGCGAAGGCTCCTGCCTTCTCGGTCCCCACTTACCATCTTGCAGGCTGGGGCCACAGAAGCCGCAGCAGGGAGCGCACTTTCCCCAGTCCCGCACCACAGAGGAGTTTTAAATGGCAGGGAGGGGGCGAGCCTGGGGAGGCGAGTTCTAATCCCCAAGAGCTCCCAGTGACGCCTCGGGGCTTTCTGGAAACGCTGCAATCTGATTTGGTGCGAAGCTGTCAAACTTGTGACGCGAGGGTACAGACTGGCAGCAGGCTGCTCTAAGGTCACCGTAGCCCGCTCACAGACGGGGAAGGGAGCGGCCCGAGGCGCAGGACTAGAGCCAAGTCTGAGGCCAGAAGCGGGACTCGGGGTGCACAGCAGCCGAACCAAGGTTGCACATAGCTACTTCAAAATGGGCACCCTGGCCAGTCGGCCTAGCTGAGCCGTAACGGTGCCCCTGGCGTCGGCGCGCAGCGCTGGGTGCCACCAGCGGAGCGGAGCAGGAATACCCCAGACAGAGCGCACTGCGCCCGAGCTGTCTGTTCTGTGTCCACAAAGTTTAGAAAAGCGGCGCTGCCGCCGCGGTTGTCCGAGGAACACAGCTGGAAAGACTCGGGCCCGAGCTGATAGGCGAAAGCGGCGCGAGGCCTCGGGAAAGAGAGCAGCGGGGAAAGTGGAGAAGGCGCCAGCCCTGCCGGGGAGTGGGCAAGCTGACTGAGGTAACCCCGCAGAGAAGGCTGAGCCGCTCCGATCAGCTGCAACTCCTGCTGTCGGTCCCTGCAGCCTGTAGGTTCCTCAGGTTTAGATCTGGGAGGGATCTTGCCAGGCGTTAATTCCATCCCCTCCGCGAAAGAAAAGGAAACTGAGGCCGGACAGTGGAAGTCACAAGTTCCAAGTCACCGACTTTAGTAGGAGTGACTGGCACAAACATGTTTATACTTTGTATGCATTTTAAAGATTCTATATTTATGTTAAGGTGGTAAGGAGAAGCTGACACTTGTAACCCGACCTTTGTCTGAACAAGCATCCCCTGGTGTCCTCCCTGAGCAGCCAATGTTCAGGCCTGAAAAGAGAGGGAAAGTACTTGCCTTTTCTTTTCCGTGGTCCACAGCACTAAATCTATTGTTCGTCCCTCGGGTTCTCTGGGCAAAATCTACTCCGGTCACCCCATACCCTGAGCTGGCCCATAGGAGCGTAGCCTTCCCAGTGCCCTTCCCCACTACTCCCATCCAAGAGCCAATCAACCCTCTTTTCCTTCAGTGTGCTGCCTCTTTGTCGCACTCCATCGCCAAACATTCTGGCCAAAGTTCCCTTCTCTGGCCACCACTCCTCTTGGTAATTGCTCTTCCTTCATGAGAAGGCAAGTTCTTTGAGGACAGGGACTTTGCCTTTGTATCTCCAGACCTTAGCACTAAGCTTGGCTTAATAAATTCTGAGTCTGTCATTCATTTGTTCATTCATTCATTCATTCATTCATTCATGCATGCAGGCATAGAAGCTAATTCAATTTCTGAAGAAGATACATACATACACAGCATAGAAACAAACCAAGGAGGAGCATCTTTCCACAGTTTCTCAAGATGGTTTCTCCAGGTCTGCCCAGACTGAAGGGCAATGAAGTGAAAGGATAGAAAAAGGGAGGGGGAAGAGGGGGGGAGAGGTGTCCCTGTCCAGTTCAGAAGAAGCAAGCTCAAGCTTTAAGTAACCAGAGTGGTGATTGAGATGTTTGCTTCTAATTTACAGGGTGAGCACATCATCTTGAGGCCCAGTCCTCAGGAAGTCACTAACAAGCATCTGTTTCCACTACTGGGGAGGCTGATTAGCTCCAGAAACATAGGGGGACCCCAATATTGAGATAACAGGAAGAATTTTCCAAGTACAATTCTCAGTTCCTCAGCCTTTAGGGTTCACAATTAGATTCCTTTGATACATGGGAAATGAATTTCAAGCAAAACATAGTACCAAGGGAGGAAAATGAATGGAATCCAAGTATGTCTTGAAGATACCATTCCTGTACTTTAGCAATGGAGTGTAGGATAATAAGAGAACATGTTTGATTTAATGTAATTGGTAAAAGAGAAAAGCGCATCATTCCAGGAGAAGGAAAAATTGGAAGGGGATAAGTAAACTGCTTTGCTGTTCTTTATAAGGAATCCTGATTAAAGGAGTAAAAAATACTTTTTTTTTTAAACAATTTCATTGGGAAGGGAGAAGTGAGAGGAATTCAATAACTTTGAAAAAATAACATAAGATGTTTCCAGTTTGTGCATGGTTAGAGTGAGAAACTCTGAGTCATGAAGAACTGTGGTCTGAGTTCAAATCCTGCCTTAGACATGTGATAGGTATGTGACCCTGGAAACGTCATTTACCCTCTTTAAGCCTCCATTTTATTAAATATGAAATGGGAATAAATGTGACACACTCTGTCAATATGTGTTAGTCATGATTAGTGTAGGGATACAGATTTTGAGATGAAAGGGACTTCAGACAGCATTTTATTCCTTAAATCTCTAAATAATGCTCTACTAACAGTAGCTAACATTTATATAATCCATAACCAAAGTAGTTGTTGTTGTAGTTGTTTGGGGGTTAATCTGGGTCAAGTGCTTGCCCAAGGATGGATTAGCATAGAAGGATAGTGGGTAGCATAGTCTTAAAATTTAATGGTTTGGGACCAATGATGATGAAAGCCAAGTCTAGAATAAGAATAGTGGATGTAGGATGTGATGCCAGTGGACAGCAACACACGCAAAGTATTTAAAATCCATTTATAAAATTATGAATTTAGAACTGGAAAGGACCTCTAAGGTGATATAATGTACTGCCTTTATACATGATAACCCTGGCACCTGTAGAGGGACATTTATTTAACCTCTTCCTTGGATCTTCTGGTGGCTTAACTACCCACAGGCCCAAAGACACTCTGTACAAGTCTGCACTCTGGAAACTAGAGCTCAGAAGCCCCCATTAGTGTACTTGTAACGTACACTTGTACTCTGTAATGGTCAGACAGTAGAAATATTTACCCTAAAGCAAGGACGTCTACTGAAGGTGACATAGAAAAAAAAAGTAACTAACAGACATCCTCTCCTGCCCAGAAATAGTGAGTGTTACTCTCCCACAAATACCCAGAGCATAAGAGGGAAGAGGGGGCCCAAATGGAGTATGCTGGAACTGAGGCTCACATGTAGGAAACACACACGGCCAAGGCAGCTTAATTGTGTTACCTCCCGGCCTTGATGTCCTTTCTTTTTTTCTGGTGTCATCATGCTGCTACTCTACAGGTACCACAGCATCTCTTTTGGGAAGATCACTCTATTGGTTTCCTTGGGCTTAGCTCCTCTTTGTAGTTCCACTATCTATTTCCAGAGTTTGCTCCTTCTGGAATTCAAGCCTATTTATTTTCCCTTCTTCTAAACATTGTGTTCCTTCAATCCATTTGCTGCCCAGGATTATCTTTCTCCTGCTACTTAATTTGGTGTCTCATCCAATTAGAGACATTTGCTACAAAATACTTTGTCCAATGGTGGGAGATGGAAGATAGAACACAATCCCTTGTCTGCCTTCTAGCACAAGTACAGGAGTCATTCTCCACAAGGCTTCTGCCCCCTAGACTGTGTCTCATAACTGAGACCACTCCAGCCACCTGGAGCAAGGCTAATATTCAGTAATCAAGTAGTGAGCTATCTACCATGATTCCAGAAGTGAGAACTCCCAAGACTAAGTAAGGGAGTAACAGGGGTATAGACACATCTTGTAATTCATCAACATCTCATCTCTAGATTACCTACCAAATTTTGTGGTATCATTAGTGGGGAGAGGGGAAAAAAATCATTGGCTCATGAACCACCTCCCTCTCTCCCAATATTTATAATGCCTGTTTAGTGATTAACATACTAGATTTTCAGTACAGTGACACGCTTGCCACACCTTTCCTTGTTGATTAAGAATCCTATATGTTGGTTTCTTCCTCTATGAACAAAAGGTTCATTTAAAAACTGCCTTTTGTATTGTGCTTAAGGGGGTGGTATGAAAAGGGGGCTAATAACAGAGGAGTTGCTGAGTCGAGGCACTGTCTCCCAGCAGGGCAAAGATAAAATAGGCAGTAACTTGACCTGTTTACAGGCACAATCTGTAGACAGACAGACGTATAGTTGTGAGCAAAGGTGATCTGGGGTGGTAAATAGGCTGGCATATGGAATGTGATTTCATTTCTCCCCTGGAGAATGCTTTCTTCTATTCACCCATTAGCCCGCCTCAGTACTACAGAGAAGGGGGCCATTCACTTGGTCTTCCTTCCACAGCTGCAGGACCATACTCTCTATCCCATGAGAAATGCACTGTTTCATCTGCTTCTTTTTTTCTTAAAAAAATATTGGTCCTTTAGCCTTCCCATCCTATTCCCTGCACCACTCAAACAGGTCCACCTTACCTGTTGGTGACTATTAATCTATGGGTTTGCGGATAGGATGCTATTCTAGATGGGACTTCAGATTTCTAAAAGTGGAATGGGAAAACTGGCAAATGTCATACATTCCTTCTGAAGGAAATCTGCCTCCTAGTAATATTACATTCATTGAGAATGGAAAGCTTTGTTTCTTTTTTTTTAATTTTCATATTCCTTGTCTTTAGTATGCAGCATTTATCCAGAAAGAGGTTCATAAATGCTTGTTGATCAGGGGTGGGGATTGCAGAGATGGGGAGTGGAGCCCAGATGACAAAGAAAAGACAAGGAATCACCTGAGCTTTCCCCCAAACCCCTCCAAACAACTTTAAATTACTCCTCAAAACAAATTCTGGAGTGGCAGAGTCCACAGAAGAATGGAGTGAAACAATTTTTCAGCTCAGGACAACTTGGAAGTTCAGGAAAAAAGGTCAGTTGCACCAGGGTGAGAGTGGCACAGGCCAGTCTTTGTGCCCAACAAACCACTAGTAAATCATGTGGTCTACTGAATCAATGACAGGAGTGCTAGTTGCCAGACCTCTAAGCCCTCAGATGATAGAGGGGTCAGACAACTGATCAGAAGGAGATTTACAAGTGTCCTTTTGCTGGCATCAGGGGTAGGTCTCTGTTGTGTTGCCCATATGTGGATCAC